CGCACAGCTCCCCTCCACGCAGCGTCTCCCAGGGCTAAGGAAGGGGAGACCCCAGGGACCCCAGCCACAGCGGGGTAGATGGTCCTGGGGATTTTGTTCTGCAAGGAGATGCAGGATGAAAAGAAACCCACAGGAAAAGCAGCCCCGAAGATGGAAGACCCCTCCTCAGTCCTCTGCCTGCTATGGGCATGCTGGAGAGCACCAGCACGGTACCCTCGCTGTCCCCCACCAGTGTGATGCCACAGACCACTGCCATGCCGAGCCCCATCTGCCCCGGGGGACAGGAGAGGCCGTGGCATTGCACCAAGGGTGGTGCACAGCAGAAGAGCCCCGGAGCTTTCAGCTGACCTGCCAGGGCAAGATGGACTGGGCCCACAAGCCCCGGGCCAGCACTTTGGGTAGCCGTGCCGGACCGGCAGGGCCAGGTCCTGAGCTGAGAAGAGCAGCATGAACCCATGTGGGGTGGCCCGGCAGACCTCCCCATCTGGGAACAGACTGCTGAGGCTGAAGGCAACGTCGGGCTCCTCTTCGCACCTGGCTTTGGAGACGGGCAGAAGTCTCGGTGCTGGAGCGGGGCACGCTGGCAGCAGCGGTGGCGATCTTTGTTCATTGGTGGCTCTCAGTGTGCTTGGGCCTGGCAGGGCCCCCAAAACAGTTCATGTTGCCTCTGCCTCCAAGAGTACAAGCCCGGGAGGCCCGCGGGAGCATGGGTAAGTCAGCAATGCCATGTGGAAGCAGCACTTCCTCTTCTTTGCCAGTGCCGGCGGTGGAAAGGCTGGGCTCTCCTCTGGACTGCATCACTCCCTTCAATTAAGCATTGGCTCCAGAAACCCCTTCCTCATCCTTTTCCCCTCCCCAACCTCCCCAAGGATACACTTGTGCTAAAAGAAATCAAACAGATCAAAGAAAGCATGAGGGCCTCTCGCTGGCTGGAGCAAGCGAAATAGGGACCCAGGGCACATGGGGCCAGCGAGCTCCTTGCTCCCGCAGGCTCCCCAGCTGCCACGCGCCAGCTCAGTCCAAGGTCTTTGCTAAGCAATTTGTTCCCTCGCTCTGTGCTTGCCCACTCCGTCCCTCCCCACCCTCGTGTTTGCAGAAATCAAGAGATACTCCCCCCTCCCTTTCCCACCCCCAAAATATCCTGGAGGTTTGGAGTCCACCCTGTCCCAGCCAGAGGGGCTGCACAACCCAGTCACCGCAGGCCATGCAAGGATGTGCGTGGATCTGGCCGACTTTTCCATCAGGTCTCTGCTTTCCCCAGCCATGAGGTCCATCTCATAGCAGCTCCCAGGTTTTTTCCGCCTTCCTGGTGGTGCTGGTTCGGGGGCTCCCCCAGGATGGGGCAGAGGGGGACCCTCGGGGCGAGTCGGCTCCGTCCCTGCTCAGGGTGACGGGGAAGACGTGGCGTGCGGCAGCGGGGTGGGCACGATGAGGCTGGTGTTGGCTGCCCCA